ACAACACACCCCTCCCCCCTACAACACACATCCTCCTCCCTACAACACACCCCTCCCCCCTACAACACACCTTCTCCCCCCTACAACACACATCCTCCTCCCTACAACACACCCTCCTCCCTACAACACACCCCTCCCCCCTACAACACACTCCCTCCCCCCTACAACACACTCCCTCCCCCCTACAACACACTCCCTCCCCCCTACAACACACTCCCTCCCCCCTACAACACACCCCCTCCCCCCTACAACACACCCCCTCCCCCCTACAACACACCCCCTCCCCCCTACAACACCCCCCCTCCCCCTACAACACCCCCTCCTCCCTACAACACACACCCTCCCCCCAACAACACCCCCCCTCCTCCCTACAACACACCCCCTCCCCCCTACAACACCCCCCCTCCTCCCTACAACACACCCCTCCCCCCTACAACACACCCCTCCCCCCTACAACACACCTCCTCCTCCCTACAACACACCCCTCCCCCCTACAACACACCCCTCCCCCCTACAACACACTCCCTCCTCCCTACAACACCCCCCTCCCCCCTACAACACACCCCTCCCCCCTACAACACACCCCTCCCCCCTACAACACACCCCCTCCCCCCTACAACACACCCCCTCCCCCCTACAACACACATCCTCCTCCCTACAACACACATCCTCCTCCCTACAACACACCCCTCCCCCCTACAACACACCCCCTCCCCCCTACAACACACCCCTCCTCCCTACAACACACATCCTCCTCCCTACAACACCCCCCTCCCCCCTACAACACACCCCTCCCCCCTACAACACCCCCCTCCCCCCTACAACACCCCCCTCCCCCCTACAACACACCCCCTCCCCCCTACAACCCCCCCTCCCCTCTACAACACACCCCTCCCCCCTACAACACACCCCTCCCCCCTACAACACCCTCCCCTCCCTCCCCCCTACAACACCCCCCTCCCCCCTACAACACCCCCCTCCCCCCTACAACACACCCCCTCCTCCCTACAACACCCCCCTCCCCTCTACAACACACCCCTCCCCCCTACAACACACCCCTCCTCCCTACAACACACCCCTTCCCCCTACAACACCCCCCCCCCTACACCTTATGACCACGGATCAAAATATAACAGCAGCCCGTGACAGCTGACTAACTCCCAGGTACCTATTTACTGCTAGGTAACAGGGGGCATCAGGGTGAAAGAAACTCTGCCCATTTGTTTCCGCCTAGTCCGGGAATCGAACCCGGGCCACAGGATTACGAACCCCGCGCGCTATCCACTGAGCTACCAGACCCCTCATGTGCTACCTCACCCCCTGTGTGTACTCACCTAGTTGTGTTTGCGGGGGTTGAGCTTTGGCTCTTTGGGCCCGCCTCTCAACTGTCAATCAACTGTCACTACTTACATTTTTTGTAGTTGTACTACTACTAATTATCACCTCTACAACACCTGGACCATCACCTCTACAACACCTGGACCATCACCTCTACAACACCTGGACCATCACCTCTACAACACCTGGACCATCACCTCTACAACACCTGGACCATCACCTCTACAACACCTGGACCATCACCTCTACAACACCTGGACCATCACCTCTACAACACCTGGACCATCACCTCTACAACACCTGGACCATCACCTCTACAGCACCTGAGGGGCCCTCTACAGCACCTGAGGGGCCCTCTACAGCACCTGAGGGGCCCTCTACAACACCTGAGGGGCCCTCTACAACACCTGAGGGGCCCTTAACAACACCTGAGGGGCCCTCTACAGCACCTGAGGGGCCCTCTACAACACCTGAGGGGCCCTCTACAGCACCTGAGGGGCCCTCTACAACACCTGAGGGGCCCTCTACAGCACCTGAGGGGCCCTCTACAACACCTGAGGGGCCCTCTACAGCACCTGAGGGGCCCTCTACAACACCTGAGGGGCCCTCTACAGCACCTGAGGGGCCCTCTACAGCACCTGAGGGGCCCTCTACAGCACCTGAGGGGCCCTCTACAGCACCTGAGGGGCCCTCTACAGCACCTGAGGGCCCTCTACAACACCTGAGGGGTCCTCTACAGCACCTGAGGGGCCCTCTACAACACCTGAGGGGCCCTCTACAGCACCTGAGGGGCCCTCTACAACACCTGAGGGGCCCTCTACAGCACCTGAGGGGCCCTCTACAGCACCTGAGGGGCCCTCTACAGCACCTGAGGGGCCCTCTACAGCACCTGAGGGGCCCTCTACAGCACCTGAGGGGCCCTCTACAGCACCTGAGGGGCCCTCTACAACACCTGAGGGGTCCTCTACAACACCTGGACCCTCTACAGCACCTGAGGGGCCCTCTACAGCACCTGAGGGGCCCTCTACAGCACCTGAGGGGCCCTCTACAGCACCTGAGGGGCCCTCTACAGCACCTGAGGGGCCCTCTACAGCACCTGAGGGGTCCTCTACAACACCTGGACCCTCTACAACACTCCTGACAACAAAACAAGGTTATTTACCTGAAGAAGGCCGGGTTCATGGGTCCTGGCGGGCCACCTGGGCCATGCATGGGCATCCCGGGCCCTGGGCCACCGGGGCCCCCCGGGCCAGGCATCATGCCGGGGCCACTGGGCCCTGAGGGCACTTGCGGGCCGTTGGGCATACCGTGACCCGGCATCCCTGGCCCCCCGGGCCCAACGGGTCCTGGCCCACCGGGCCCCACGGGCCCTCCGGGCACCCCTGGTCCACCTGGACCATGGAGGAAGCCACCGGGGCCCCCGGGCGGGCCATGTACCGGGTGGGAGCCGAGTCCCACCGGTCCACCCTGAGGCCCGTGGGGCATGTTTGGGGGCCCGACGGGGGCAGTGTCCCCACTGAGGGGACCCTGAGGGCCCACGGCCCCTGTCATCATGTGCGGGGCTGGGGGCAGGCCGTCATGGTCCCCTGGGGCCCCCAGCCCCGTGGTGACGGGCTGCTTGCGGCGCCCCGTCTTGATGGGCATATAGCGAGGTGTTCAGCCTCGTGCGGGCAGCATAGAGTGCGGCCCGGGCCACGCAACACCCCCTCCACTACACCATGTGGCCGGCAACACTCTCCCGCGCCGGCAACACACTCCCACAGCGGCAACACTCTCTCCCAGGGCAGCAACACTCTCCCAGGGCAGCAAGACACACTCCCACGGCGGCACGACACACTCCCAGGGCAGCAACACACTCTCACGGTGGCAACACACTCTCACGGTGGCAAGACACTCTCCCAGGGCGGCAAGACACTCCCAGGGCGGCAACACACTCCCAGGGCGGCAAGACACTCCCAGGGCGGCAACACACTCCCAGGGCGGCAAGACACTCTCCCACAGGGGCCCACCCACCCCACACTACTCATCCACCGCCGACACTAGCCTGGGTGGGGGCCACGCTCGACGCTGGGGCCATCAACACTGGCCACGTGAGGGGAGAGGCGGAGGGGGTGGGAGGGGGGAGGTGGATGGCGGTGTATGGCGGCGGCTGGCGGCGGCGGCGGCGGCTGGTGGCGGCGGAGCGGCGGGCGTCAGTGAGTGGCGGGGTCCGGGCCTGACTGTAGCGGACTGGTGCTGCTGCTGCTGGAGCTGCTGCTGCTCTCTCTCTCTCTCACTCTGTCTCTCCCTCTACCTCTCTCTCTCGCGCCTCTCTCCCGCGCACACCCCTCTCTCTCTCTCTCTCTCTCTCTCCCTCTCTGCTCTCTCTCTCTCCCCGTGTCTGCCTCTCTCAGCGTGCCGCGCGCCTCCTAGCCTCTCCCAGGGTGCCGTGTAATCCTCGCACACGTCAATCAATGGATCTTGAGCACCCAGAGAGGAGCACATGTACGGGGGAGGGGGCGACCCCACGCCCACACGCCCACGCCCACAACCTCCCCACACAACACACACACATGCCACTGGGGCCTCGCGGCTCAGTAGACAGCGCTCTGGCCTCCTAGTCCTAAGCGCCCGGGTTCTATCCCCGGCGCAGGCAGAAATAAATGGTCAGTTTCTTTCACCCTGGTGTTTCTGCTCACCTCGCAGGAAACAGGTACCTGGGAGTTAGACAACAACTTCCTAGCGACGTGTGTTAAAGAGAGAAATATACGTAGTAGACCTAATTGAGGTCAAATAAACAGGTTAGTAAGGCGGGGTCCAAGAGCTAATAACCCGATTCAGCAGACACAAATAGTAAACACAGGCAGCCCACCCCCGCCCCTGCCTCTCTGGGGGGGTGGCAAACGTTGCTGCTGCCTCACTGCCGCACCTCACCAACTTAACCCCCTCCCCCCCGCCACCACGACCCCCCCCCCCCCACACACACACACACGCGCCCCCACACACACGCGCCCCCCACACACGCCCCCCCCCCACACAAGCACGCGTACACACGACAGCTCAGCGCTCAGTGTAAACGGCCGGCAAAAAACACTTGTAGGAAACTCAGCCTTAGAGGGGGGGGGGGGGGGGGGGCGTAGAGCAGCACCACACTGGGGTAGAGCAGCACCACACTGGGGTAGAGCAGCACCACACTGGGGTAGAGCAGCACCACACTGGGGTAGAGCAGCACCACACGGGTGTAGAGCAGCACCACACTGGGGTAGAGCAGCACCACACTGGGGTAGAGCAGCACCACGGTGGGGTAGAGCAGCACCACGGTGGGGTAGAGCAGCACCACGGTGGGGTAGAGCAGCATCACGGTGGGGTAGAGCAGCACCACGGTGGGGTAGAGCAGCACCACGGTGGGGTAGAGCAGCACCACGGTGGGGTAGAGCAGCACCACGGTGGGGTAGAGCAGCACCACGGTGGGGTAGAGCAGCACCACGGTGGGGTAGAGCAGCACCACGGTGGGGTAGAGCAGCACCACGGTGGGGTAGAGCAGCACCACGGTGGGGTAGAGCAGCACCACGGTGGGGTAGAGCAGCACCACGGTGGGGTAGAGCAGCACCACGGTGGGGTAGAGCAGCACCACGGTGGGGTAGAGCAGCACCACGGTGGGGTAGAGCAGCACCACACTGGGGTAGAGCAGCACCACACTGGGGTAGAGCAGCACCACACTGGGGTAGAGCAGCACCACGGTGGGGTAGAACAGCACCACGGTGGGGTAGAGCAGCACCACACTGGGGCAGAGCAGCACCACACTGGGGCAGAGCAGCACCACACACTGGGGTAGAGCAGCACCACACTGGGGTAGAACAGCACCACACTGGGGTAGAGCAGCACCACACTGGGGTAGAGCAGCACCACACTGGGGTAGAGCAGCACCACTGGGGTAGAGCAGCACCACACTGGGGTAGAAAAGCACCACTGGGGTAGAGCAGCACCGCACTGGGGTAGAGCAGCACCACACTGGGGTAGAGCAGCACCACACTGGGGTAGAGCAGCACCACACTGGGGTAGAGCAGCACCACACTGGGGTAGAGCAGCACCACACTGGGGTAGAGCAGCACCACACTGGGGTAGAGCAGCACCACACTGGGGTAGAGCAGCACCACACTGGGGTAGAGCAGCACCACACTGGGGTAGAGCAGCACCACACTGGGGTAGAGCAGCACCACACTGGGGTAGAGCAGCACCACGGTGGGGTAGAGCAGCACCACGGTGGGGTAGAGCAGCACCACGGTGGGGTAGAGCAGCACCACACGGGTGTAGAGCAGCACCACACGGGTGTAGAGCAGCACCACACGGGGGTAGAGCAGCACCACACTGGGGTAGAGCAGCACCACACTGGGGTAGAGCAGCACCACACTGGGGTAGAGCAGCACCACACTGGGGTAGAGCAGCACCACACTGGGGTAGAGCAGCACCACACTGGGGTAGAGCAGCACCACACTGGGGTAGAGCAGCACCACACTGGGGTAGAGCAGCACCACACTGGGGTAGAGCAGCACCACACTGGGGTAGAGCAGCACCACACTGGGGTAGAGCAGCACCACACTGGGGTAGAGCAGCACCACACTGGGGTAGAGCAGCACCACACTGGGGTAGAGCAGCACCACACTGGGGTAGAGCAGCACCACACTGGGGTAGAGCAGCACCACACTGGGGTAGAGCAGCACCACACTGGGGTAGAGCAGCACCACACTGGGGTAGAGCAGCACCACACTGGGGTAGAGCAGCACCACACTGGGGTAGAGCAGCACCACACTGGGGTAGAGCAGCACCACACTGGGGTAGAGCAGGGGTAGAGCAGCACCACACTGGGGTAGAGCAGCACCACACTGGGGTAGAGCAGCACCACACTGGGGTAGAGCAGCACCACACTGGGGTAGAGCAGCACCACACTGGGGTAGAGCAGCACCACACTGGGGTAGAGCAGCACCACACTAGAGCAGCACCACACTGGGGTAGAGCAGCACCACACTGGGGTAGAGCAGCACCACACTGGGGTAGAGCAGCACCACACTGGGGTAGAGCAGCACCACACTGGGGTAGAGCAGCACCACACTGGGGTAGAGCAGCACCACACTGGGGTAGAGCAGCACCACACTGGGGTAGAGCAGCACCACACTGGGGTAGAGCAGCACCACACTGGGGTAGAGCAGCACCACACTGGGGTAGAGCAGCACCACACTGGGGTAGAGCAGCAGCACCACACTGGGGTAGAGCAGCACCACACTGGGGTAGAGCAGCACCACACTGGGGTAGAGCAGCACCACACTGGGGTAGAGCAGCACCACACTGGGGTAGAGCAGCACCACACTGGGGTAGAGCAGCACCACACCAGCAGCACCACACTGGGGTAGAGCAGCACCACACTGGGGTAGAGCAGCACCACACTGGGGTAGAGCAGCACCACACTGGGGTAGAGCAGGGGTAGAGCAGCACCACACTGGGGTAGAGCAGCACCACACTGGGGTAGAGCAGCACCACACTGGGGTAGAGCAGCACCACACTGGGGTAGAGCAGCACCACACTGGGGTAGAGCAGCACCACACTGGGGTAGAGCAGCACCACACTGGGGTAGAGCAGCGACCAAAGAGAAGATGGTAGAAGCAAGAGGAGAGGAAGAGAAGACGGGGAAGAATTAACATGAGACGAGAGAGGAGGAGAAAAGGGGAGAGAAGATGGAAGAGGCGGCGGAGGGAGGGGGGTTAGGGGGGGGGGCACGACTAACCCACTACCCATGGGGTGGGGGGTAACCTATCAACCCCACCCTGCTGGATATACCCCTCCCCCCTCCACACCCCCACCCGCATACCACAACACCCCCCCCCCCCCATTTACCTCATTCCCTCCCTCCCTCCACCCTCACCCCTCCCTCCCTCCACCCTCACCCCCCCTCCCTCCCTCCCAGCATGTTACGGGACGGTTCAGGCGGGACGTTACCCTAGTTGGACTTGCCTAACGTTGAGCTCCAGCTCGTTGTTCCCGCCTCTCAACCTGTCATCAACTCGTGTACAGGTTCCCTGACCTACTGGGCTGTGTCAGGTGTGTACACACGTGAACCTGTGTGTGTGTGGAGGCGTCACCCGCTCCAGCACCGCTCTTCTCACTCCACTCCATTTGTTCAGTATTCTAACAATGAGCAAATTCTGTCTAATTGTCTCTGGTTCATTTGCATACTTAGCTTCCATCTCTTTCCCTTCCTCGTGTAACACCCAACCCAAACAATGTGTCCTCATCTACTCTATATGTCCTCTATTATCCGGTGAATTTTGTACGTGGTAATACCTGGTTGATACCTGGTTGATGGGGGTCTGGGAGTTCTTCTACTCCCCAAGCCCAGCCCGAGGCCAGACTTGACTTGTGAGAGTTTGGTCCACCAGGCTGTTGCTTGGAGCGGCCCGCAGGCCCACATACCCACCACAGCCCGGCTGATCCGGATCTTCTCTTAGAAAACAGTCCAGTTTTCTCTTGAAGATGTCCACGGTTGTTCCGGCAATATATCTCCGGCAATAATCATGGCTCTCCTAACTCTTCTGTCTTCCAATGACGGGAGGTGTAGGTAATATAATCCTGGCTGGCAATGATTACCTCAGATGTGTGGCAGGAGTGAGAGAGAGAGCATGTGTGTGGCGGGTCAGTGATGGTGGTGATGGTGGTGGAACTTGTCCATATGTTACCTGTCACTGACCACCAGGCCTTCACCACCCGCCTCCTCACCTCCTTCCATTATAACTAACTCTTCTTACCTTTTGGTAATATGTTTATTGTTTGTGATGTGTGTGTATGTATGTAGTAACACGTTGTACTGAACGTGGTGAGAATAGCTTGAGCTACCTCATCCCTTTGTGTGGATTTTACCTCAATAAACTTATTTATATTTCAATTTCTTCTTACCTGCATCTTACTACTGCCTATTTCTCACCTTCAAATTCTTTGTCGAGTCTGGCCCTAAAGTTGTGGATGGAGGAACTTCTTCAGGTGTATTCCACCTGCTGGTCGCCCGTACCCGCCGCATTTCTTCCCATTTGTTTGACTCACAATCAATGTGAGTCCAGGTTATCTTGAGATGATTTCGGGGCTTTTTAGTGTCCCCGCGGCCCGGTCCTCGACTAGGCCTCCACCCCCAGGAAGCAGCCCGTGACAGCTGACTAACACCCAGGTACCTATTTTACTGCTAGGTAACAGAGGCATAGGGTGAAAGAAACTCTGCCCATTGTTTCTCGCCGGCGCCTGCGATCGAACCCAGGACCACAGGATCACAAGTCCAGGGTGCTGTCCGCTCGGCCGACCAGGCTGTGACTCGTACGTCAGGCTGCGAGCAGCCGCGTCCAACAGCCTGGTTGATCAATCCAGCAACCAGGAGGCCTGGTCGAGGACCGGGCCGCAGGGACGCTAAGCCCCGGAAGCACCTCAAGGTAAGGAGTCAGTTCCATGACCTCTCACCATAGCTTAACACCCTTCAACTCCGGCACTATTCTGCCTGCAAAGCTCTCGATTTCTTCAGCTTTGGTTTTGCTTCACAATTATCAAAATAAGTGGCCAAGACAGGTTTATGTTCAACAAGGTGAGGAGTCCAGTCCGGCGCTGCAACACCACATTGTTCAACAAGGTGAGGAGTCCAGTCCGGCGCTGCAACACCACATTGTTCAACAAGGTGAGGAGTCCAGTCCGGTGCTGCAACACCACATTGTTCAACAAGGTGAGAAGTCCAGTCCGGTGCTGCAACACCACATTGTTCAACAAGGTGAGGAGTCCAGTCCGGCGCTGCAACACCACATTGTTCAACAAGGTGAGGAGTCCAGTCCGGCGCTGCAACACCACATTGTTCAACAAGGTGAGGAGTCCAGTCCGGCGCTGCAACACCACATTGTTCAACAAGGTGAGGAGTCCAGTCCGGCGCTGCAATGTAACGGGGGGGTGGGGGAAATGGCTCTATCTTGTCCATTATTCCACCCCCCAGTTAACTAACGAGGCCGGGGGAAACAGCTCTCTCTAGTCCGTTATCCCGTCCCCAGTTAGTTAACTATTCTAGAGCACCCTCCAGAGTTCCTAAGGCAACCTCTCTCGTTCAACACCTTGTAACCTAGGTAGTTGACTACCTAGGTGCTAAGACTACAAGGCGCCGTAACTGGATCAGCTACCCGAAACTCTAGAGAGAACTCTAGAATACAGCATCATTGCCACAAACGTATACGAGAAAACGAAAGGAAAGAAAGGAATAGTGAAGTAATTAGTGAGGGTTTGGGGTGAGAGGGAGAGAGGTGGGAGGAGCGAGGAGGGTCATTAGTTGAAAGTGAGAGTTTAGAGAAGGGTGGAGGGAGAGGTGTAGATGGGTAGAAGTAGAAGAGTAGATAGTAGACGTAGAAGAGTAGATAGTAGAAGACGAAATGCTGCCACCATCCATTCATGATCATTACATACAAGACAAGGAATGGAACTTGCCTGTATCACAAAATTCTCAAAAGATGTTATCATGAGTTCATTATTAGTATGTTCCCTCTGTACCATGTACTCATTAAAATCAGGGAACCAATAATCCCCGAGGCTTTCTCACCTCAACTCAACTCTAGGGACACAAAGTTAAACACAATTTAAATAATAAATTCATAATTATATTTCACATGAAGTATCATAATTTAGCAATTCAATTAAAATGTTCCAGTTTAATATGCAAAGTGAGTCATCATCCAAGAATTCGAGAACCCTACAACTTGACTGCCCCTGATCATCACACAACACTTGTAAAACACGACCAAGTCACCTAAATGTTCACTCACCGAGGACTGAGTCTAAGTTGAATAGAGAGGGGGGGGGGGGGGGTCTGTAGCTTGACAGAGACTGTCTCGCCCCTGCCGGCCGACAACCTCCCTGGTAGGGACGTCTTCTCTCTCTCGTCTGCTGCTCTGTCTGTTAATCCTTTCTGCTGGATAGCTCTCCGAGTTTATATTGGGGAACCTAGTAGCTAACTCCGCCCACAAGTAGATAGCCTCCGGCACTACCAAGCCACTCCTTAAACGTCGGCTTGTTTGAAGGCTACCAGCCTACAATTAAGAGCTTAGCGGAAGCAAGGTGAAATTCTCATGATCTGACCTCAGGTCACTTGAGGTCATTAACGCTTTGAGGTGTGAGATCTCAGGCAGACAACTGGCGCCTTTCCAAATCCCTGTCTGTGACTCATATTCTATATATATTTTAAATAAACTAACCCAAACACTTTTACAGTGTTACATCTCCCCTTCTCCCCGAAATAAAGTTTTTGCAACACTGCTAAAGCAAGCTAGCTGTGTGCAACAACTTTATTAACGAAAAAAAAAAATACATCCTAGCTAAACAAATATACCTCATCCTACTCTAAAAAATGAAATATATAGACAGACGTCCATTGTCTCTGGCTGGGCGACGTCACTGCTTGGTCTTGTAGATAATCCTGTACCACATTTCTTCAACACAACTGCCTCCGTCGCTTCTCCGTCGTTAACGCACAACAACCCTTGGTCAACCCGAAAGCCGTTACTACTTGAACTGCGCACAGGACCGTGGAATTCGGTTGTCCCAGCTGATCTGTAATTGGCCCTACGTCAGTCACCATGAGAGACGTATATTGGGGTTCTTCACAGCTATAGGGACTACAAGTTTCGAGACCTTCATATAGTTGCCAACAGTAGAAATCCCATCCTACTCTTCTTCCTCCCTGTTGCTCCAGCACGCCTCCTTCAGAGAGCTACTTCTGACAGCCACATCAAGTCCGCATGACACAGGAAGAATCACTCAACAGAGCAACATGCTTGTAGGAGGGGCGGCCAGTCAAGGCAAACGATCCTGTCTTGCAATTACGCTCCATGCAATAATGCTGACACCAGCAAGGGACACTAGGTATCATGTCTCACTCAGCTTGTCTTATCTTCTCTTCTTTCTTCTCTCTATTTCTTTCTCTTCTCTCTTTTCTTCTTTCTTCTTTCTTCTCTCTTCCTTCTTCTCTCTTCTTTCTTCTCTCTTCTTTCTTCTCTCTTCCTCCTCCCATGGGTCTTAGACAAGCGACCTGGGGTCCACTGGGGTCCGTCCGTCCTGGGGTCCATCCTGGGCAGACCGGTGTTGGTGGGACAGACTGGAATCGTTGTTGTTCCTCTTCCATCTTTACTGGGTCGTCTGGGGTCGTCTGCAGAACGACCTGGGGTCCACTGGGGGTCCGTAAGTCTTGGGGTCCACTGGGGTCCGTCCGTCCTGGGGTCCACTGGGTAGACCAATGTTGACCGACCGAGAGGGCTGCATCTTGGGGTCCCCTGGGGTGATGGTGGTGGTGGTGGCCGTGACATCCAGGTAGGGGGCTGGTCGTCGTGGTGGTGAGGAACGTCCCTGAGTGTGGTACACAGCAGCCGTCTCTCTTCTGCATATGCGTCGCGCCTCTCCTCTGGCTCCCACCTGTGGATGAACATAAAGGCGACAATACCCGTGTTCCATGCTGTTGTGTGACCCTGTAGTTTGTATAGGGTTCACACAGTCCAATTATAAGCTCTCCTCCTGGCAACAACTACACTTAAATTTTTTAAAATAATCCAATTAACACTGAATGATACTGACTTGGTGGAACATAAGACAGTAACAGAGGAAAGTTAGAGAAGAGAGAATAAGGTCATCACTACTTTTAACTTGTCACAAAAAAAAAATCAAAACTAATAGACAAAACACTAGCCTAAACTTAACTGTACCGTTCCTAATCTTACGTACTTAAATATCCATTACTCCCACCCTTAACCTACAGCCACCTACGTGACCCAGAGTGTTTCCCTAGCTTCTCCGCCGGTCAACAACTCCAAACTGTTGCCACCCCTGTGACCAGACTATCTAACGTCGAGCGTCCCCAACGTGAAGTCTACTGACATACTAAGCCTCCCCCTAGCATGCTGTACAATACCAGTACACCTCGGGTTATTGCGTTCAAATGGAGTAAAACAGTCGATCGCAATAATCTGAGCAGAACCACCACTAAATTCTACTTAAGAACTACACCTGCCACTCCCCACTGAACTGGAGACCAGCGGTGGCTGGGTGTCCCCGTGGGACATGCGAGGTCACCTGTCACACTCAGCTGACCTGCACTACCAACACCGCTAAGTTCCCAAATCGCCAAATCTTATCACTAACATTAATCACTACACACGCAAGTTCTGGTGAACATTCCCTGAACTACACAAAACTCACAAAATCACTAAACACAACACCAGAAAATCACCATCTCCTAACCTGAAAAAAAGTTCGCTAACTCGCGAATAATAAACACCTGTCAAGATCTCCCTGATAGCGCCTGAGCGGCAAAAAGACACGTGGGACTGAACAATGTTAAAAGAACACCAACTACCTACAACATTGTTCAACACCGCTGCCAACATTGTAACGGGGGGGTGGGGGAAATAGCTCTATCTTGTCCATTATTCCACCCCCCAGTTAACTAACGAGGCCGGGGGAAACAGCTCTCTCTAGTCCGTTATCCCGTCCCCAGTTAGTTAACTATTCTAGAGCACCCTCCAGAGTTCCTAAGGCAACCTCTCTCGTTCAACACCTTGTAACCTAGGTAGTTGACTACCTAGGTGCTAAGACTACAAGGCGCCGTAACTGGATCAGCTACCCGAAACTCTAGAGAGAACTCTAGAATACAGCATCATTGCCACAAACGTATACGAGAAAACGAAAGGAAAGAAAGGAATAGTGAAGTAATTAGTGAGGGTTTGGGGTGAGAGGGAGAGAGGTGGGAGGAGCGAGGAGGGTCATTAGTTGAAAGTGAGAGTTTAGAGAAGGGGGGAGGGAGAGGTGTAGATGGGTAGAAGTAGAAGAGTAGATAGTAGACGTAGAAGAGTAGATAGTAGAAGACGAAATGCTGCCACCATCCATTCATGATCATTACATACAAGACAAGGAATGGAACTTGCCTGTATCACAAAATTCTCAAAAGATGTTATCATGAGTTCATTATTAGTATGTTCCCTCTGTACCATGTACTCATTAAAATCAGGGAACCAATAATCCCCGAGGCTTTCTCACCTCAACTCAACTCTAGGGACACAAAGTTACACACAATTTAAATAATAAATTCATAATTATATTTCACATGAAGTATCATAATTTAGCAATTCAATTAAAATGTTCCAGTTTAATATGCAAAGTGAGTCATCATCCAAGAATTCGAGAACCCTACAACTTGACTGCCCCTGATCATCACACAACACTTGTAAAACACGACCAAGTCACCTAAATGTTCACTCACCGAGGACTGAGTCTAAGTTGAATAGAGAGGGGGGGGGGGGGTCTGTAGCTTGACAGAGACTGTCTCGCCCCTGCCGGCCGACAGCCTCCCTGGTAGGGACGTCTTCTCTCTCTCGTCTGCTGCTCTGTCTGTTAATCCTTTCTGCTGGATAGCTCTCCGAGTTTATATTGGGGAACCTAGTAGCTAACTCCGCCCACAAATAGATAGCCTCCGGCACTACCAAGCCACTCCTTAAACGTCGGCTTGTTTGAAGGCTACCAGCCTACAATTAAGAGCTTAGCGGAAGCAAGGTGAAATTCTCATGATCTGACCTCAGGTCACTTGAGGTCATTAACGCTTTGAGGTGTGAGATCTCAGGCAGACAACTGGCGCCTTTCCAAATCCCTGTCTGTGACTCATATTCTATATATATTTTAAATAAACTAACCCAAACACTTTTACAGTGTTACAGCAACACCACATTGTTCAACAAGGTGAGGAGTCCAGTCCGGCGCTGCAACACCACATTGTTCAACAAGGTGAGGAGTCCAGTCCGGCGCTGCAACACCACATTGTTCAACAAGGTGAGGAGTCCAGTCCGGCGCTGCAACACCACATTGTTCAACAAGGTGAGGAGTCCAGTCCGGTGCTGCAACACCACATTGTTCAACAAGGTGAGGAGTCCAGTCCGGTGCTGCAACACCACATTGTTCAACAAGGTGAGGAGTCCAGTCCGGTGCTGCAACACCACATTGTTCAACAAGGTGAGGAGTCCAGTCCGGTGCTGCAACACCACATTGTTCAACAAGGTGAGGAGTCCAGTCCGGTGCTGCAACACCACATTGTTCAACAAGGTGAGGAGTCCAGTCCGGTGCTGCAACACCACATTGTTCAACAAGGTGAGGAGTCCAGTCCGGTGCTGCAACACCACATTGTTCAACAAGGTGAGGAGTCCAGTCCGGTGCTGCAACACCACATTGTTCAACAAGGTGAGGAGTCCAGTCCGGTGCTGCAACACCACATTGTTCAACAAGGTGAGGAGTCCAGTCCGGTGCTGCAACACCACATTGTTCAACAAGGTGAGGAGTCCAGTCCGGTGCTGCAACACCACATTGTTCAACAAGGTGAGGAGTCCAGTCCGGTGCTGCAACACCACATTGTTCAACAAGGTGAGGAGTCCAGTCCGGTGCTGCAACACCACATTGTTCAACAAGGTGAGGAGTCCAGTCCGGTGCTGCAACACCACATTGTTCAACAAGGTGAGGAGTCCAGTCCGGTGCTGCAACACCACATTGTTCTAACACTGTCTAGACTCCCTTGAAAGCCTCTTGATTTACGTTTTAAATACCGGTTAAATGTTAGTCAACATTCCATATGCTGCTGATGTTACCCTGTTTGTGTGTGTCTCCGGCTATCGTGTAGGAATTATATCCACAAAATCGCGTTATCATTCTGATGCCCGCAGTGGCCTTATCCTTATGGTGTAGATACCTGCTGGTCTCCTTCCTCCATCCCCCATCTTCTTTACCTGACACTTGACAACACTCGCCACTGTTTCTTAGTCAAATCCTGGAATTTGTCGAGGTCTTCCTGTAACTGTGTGCAGTCCTCGGTTATTACAGTCCTCCTGTTACCTGCTTGTTTGATACCTGGTTGATGGGGTTCTGGGAGTTCTTCTACTCCCCAAGCCCGGTCCGAGGCCAGGCGTGACTTGTGAGAGTTTGGTCCACCAGGCTGTTGCTTGGAGCGGCCCGCAGGCCCACATACCCACCACAGCCCGGTTGGTCCGGCACTTCTCGATGAAAACTATCTAGTTTTATCTTGAAGATGTCCACGGTTGTTCCGGCAATATTTCTTATGCTCGCTGGGAGGATGTTGAATAGCCGCGGACCTCTGATGTTTATACAGTGTTCTCTGATTGTGCCTATGGCACCTCTGCTCTTCACTGGTTCTATTCTGCATTTTCTTCCATATCGTTCATTCCAGTACGTTGTTATTTTACTGTGCAGATTTGGGACCTGGCCCTCCAGTATTTTCCATGTGTATATTATTTGGTATCTCTCTCGTCTCATTTCTAGTGAGTACATTTGGAGGGCTTTGAGACGATCCCAATAATTTAGGTACTTTATCTCGTCTATGCGTGCCGTATATGTTCTCTGTATTCCCTCTATTTCAGCAATCTCTCCTGCTCTGAAGGGGGAAGTGAGTACTGAGCAGTGCTCAAGACGGGACAACACAAGTGACTTGAAGAGTACAACCATTGTGATGAGATCCCTGGATTTGAAAGTTCTCGTTATCCATCCTATCATTTTTTCGGCTGTCGCAATATTTGCTTGGTTATGCTCCCTAAACGTTAGGTCGTCAGACATTATTATTCCCAAATCCTTTACATGTTACTTTCCTACTATGGGCAGATTTGACTGTTTTGTACCATGTATTATGTTTAAGGTTCTTATTTTTTTCCGTACCTGAGTACCTGCAATTTATCACTGTTAAACATCATGTTATTTTCTGTTTGCCCAGTTGAAAACTTTATTAATAACTGATTGAAGTTATTACTTCAGTCGCGCGCGCACACGCACGCACGCACGCACACACACACACACACACACACACACACACACACACACACACACACACACACACACACCTCCAGTTAACTGTTGAGAGGCGGGACCAAAGAGCCAGAGCTCAACCCCCGCAAACACAACTAGGTGAATACAACTTGGATGAGTACACACACACACACGCGCACACACACACACACAAACACTACGGTCAACCTCTACCTCTCTTCCACTTCTCTCACCACTAATCAATCAATGTCTGTGTCTGTCTGAGTGTACCTGTCTGTCTATGACCCCCCCCCCCTGCCCCCCTGCTGCTCACCTGTGAGGATTCATTACCGGGACACGTGGTCTTGTTTACAAACATTACTGACTCTCCACACACTGACCAGTCACCGTCCGGCCTCTCTGTCTCCTGCACGCCTGACCTAACACAAGCCGGAGTTATTTACCCCGGGAACCCCCTCCCCCCCAACCCCATTATTCCTGAGGAGTTTAGCGCAGAATTTTGAGCCCCAGGAAGGAGCTCCAAGGAGCCCCAGGAAGGAGCTCCAAGGAGCCCCAGGAAGGAGCCCCAAGGAGCCCTATAGAGGAAGGAGGACCGTGATCACATGATAACATCAGACTGCATTACCACGTGTATATTATTTGGTATCTCTCTCGTCTTCTTTCTAGTGAGTACATTTGGAGAGCTTTGAGACGATCCCAATAATTTAGGAGTTTTATCGAGTCTTTGTCTGCCGTCTGTAAATCTGTTCTTTCACTGGGTCACAGAAAATAATTTGCTGTTTAATGAAGATTAGTTCCAGCTCCTACGCTACGGAAAAAATAGAAAGGGAAAAACGTGTGTGTAATATATATATATATATATATATATATATATATATATATATATATATATATATATATATATATATATATATATATATATATATATATATATGTGTGTGTGTGTGTGTGTATCACGAAAATAAACACGTGATTAAGAATGTGACAATGTCAGACCACGGAGGAAAAATGAAACAGGAATTTCCTTAAGTACTTTCGTATATTAAATACATCTTCAGAAGGTCTTCACCTTCTGAAGATGTATTTAATATACGAAAGTACTTAAGGAAATTCCTGTTTCATTTTTCCTCCGTGGTCTGACATTGTCATATATATATATATATATATATATATATATATATATATATATATATATATATATATATATATATATATATATATATATATATATATATATATATAATAGTACTCGCGTCCCACGACCACCTTACCTTCAAAGAACACAATAAAGTAGGTGTCAAACCTGCAAGAAATGAGAGGTTTGATAAGAAGAACCTTTCACACACGAGATGCCAGACCAATAATGATACTTAAGACACTAGTGGCGTCTAAGATGCAATATTGTTACACATTTCCAGTCCTATTCTAAGCTACAGAAATTGCTGACTTGAAGCCCTTACAAAGGTATTATATTGCCAAACTCCACTGACTATAACATCTAAATTATTGAGACTGCTTACAATTTTAAACCCGGTATTCTCCAGAGCGCAGGCGAGGGAGATACATAATAATTTACACTTGGAAAATATTAGAAGGACTGGTGCCAAACCTGCACTCAGAAATAACACCACAATGAGACCATGAAACATGGCAGGAAGTGCAGAACCGCTCCAATGATTAGCAGAGGTGCAATTGGTGTGGTGAGAGAGAACACTGTCAACATCAGAGCCGCGAGACTCTTCAACACATTCCCTCTACACGTAAAGAGGCATAACTACCCGACCTCTCGTGGTATTCAAAAAATAAATTGATAAACACCTCCAAAGGATACCTGATCAACCAGGCTGTGATTAATACGTCAGGCTGCGAGAAGCCACGGGAGACATGTTGACCAAACAGGACCTCGTGGGTGGCTGGGATCATCCTAGGACGCAGGTTCGAACCCTCATCACGGCCCTTGTGGATTTATTCATTTAATGTATCACGCTATTGTGATTACTGTGTGTATAGCCAACTGTTTTGTTGTGGCTATGTGGGCCTGCGGGATACTGCAAGCAACAGCCTGATGAACCGCTATGACAAGTCCAGCCTGGCCTCAAGCCTGACTACGAGCTAGTAGCACTACCACCACCCAGGTCGGGAACACACACAGGTATAATCCAGTGGTCGGTAAATCCCTCCCCCCTCCCCCCCCCCCTCTTGGCAAATCCAAACACTCAACACTGGAATGAAATCAACTTTTCCCCAGAATACTTGAGTCAACATTAAATATTTGACAATCGATCAGCAGTGGTCCATGACAGCCATCCCCCCCCATTGGGCCCCCCCTCCCCCCACCACACCCCCTCGCCACTCCCCCCTCCCCCCCCCCCCCACGCCAGGTCCCAGCGAGGCGGCCCCACCAGGTCCCACCAGAACCAGTGCTGGTACTACTAGGTATATGTGCTTCCATGTATACATGCTCCCCCATGTATATAGATATATATATACCCTGTGTGTACATGCTCCCCCATGTATATAGATATATATATGCCCTGTGTGTACATGCTCCCCATGTATATAGATATATATGCCCTGTGTGTATACATGCTCCCCCATGTATAAACGCCACATATATACGTGCCCCACACCACAGAGAGTAGCAGCTACACGTACACCCCAACAACCAAGCCAATCACAGAAAGCACATATAAACAAAACAACACAAGCGGTGTGTGCAAAGCTGGCAGCACTGGAACAGCCTTCACGAACCTGTGACAACAACGACTCATTCAGAGAAATGGATTTCACCTACGTGAGACTGGTGCTAGAGTATGCAGCAACAGCATGGAACCAGCACCTAATAAAACACAAAAAGAAAACTAAATGAGTGGATAGTTTGAGGATAAGCTGGCCAAGAGTTTGGCATCAGAAACAACACAGAGCAGGAATGGGGCAGTAGAATGCTACGCCACATTACTAAAGAGACTTCGTTACACTGACGCACACAATGTGTACACCTGACACCAAGGAGGGCCACACCTGACACCAAGGAGGGCCACACCTGACACCAAGGAGGGCCACACCTGACACCAAGGAGGGCCACACCTGACACCAAGGAGGGCCACACCTGGCACCAAGGAGGGCCACAGATGCAGTACTGAGGGAGATAAGAAACTAAGTGTCAACAGAAGAGCCAAGCAACAGAGGGTCGGGAGTCCAGCCTGGCCTCGGGCCGGGCTTGGGCAGTAGAACAACTCCCATCAACTCCATCAACCAGGCACACACATGTGTGGGCTCAGGAATCTGTACATTAGTTAACTGACAGTTGAGAGGCGGGACCAAAGAGGCAAAGCTCAACCCCCACAAGCACAACTAGGTGTTCACCTAGTTGTGTTTTGCGGGGGTTGAGCATTGCTCTTTCGGCCCGCCTCTCAACTGTCAGTTAACTGTTTACTAACTATTTATTTTTCCTCTCTCCACGCCACACACACAAACACCCCAGGAAGCAACCCGTGACAGCTGACTAATTCCAAGGTACCTATTTACTGCTAGGTAACCGGGGCATTCAGGGTGAAAGAAACTTTGCCCAATTGTTTCTGCCTGGTGCGGGAATCGAACCCGCGCCACAGAATTACGAGTCCTGCGCGCTATCCACGTCCTAGGCGAGGACATGGCGCGGAGAACCTACAGAAATAAGAGGC